GTGGAAATGAGTGTGGTCATCTATCCAAAATGTCTTACTTGCAAAGCTTATCTTCTAATAAACATTTTGATAGTTCAACAGCAGAGCCATGTCATAGCAATTAATCACAGTTAAGGTACACGTTGACTGCTGTCATGAGGTAGCATGGCAAAACTGACTACGCATACTAAAAGAGCATTTGCTACAAATAATAAGACTAGTAATGAGAATGATGTCGGTTTGCAGAAGGATAGTGATGAAATAAGAAGAACATATGCAAAGGGGTATTGATGAAATAAGGAAAATGTTAGACCAAGTCTTAGCTTAATTGCATTAACAAATAAGCAATTGCCAAAAATGTGGACACACCAGCATGATATACGTAAATTATTCAGATTTCAGAAAACCATTATCCATTAGTATATTTCATAACTAATGCAAATTTACAGACTGCTTAAAAAGGGAAAAGAGTGGTATCTGTTTTGCAAGCTTCACATTAGAAACAAGAAGGCAAGAGAAAAGAAAAGACGCAACAGCCTTCAAAATAAAAACTAAAGAAATTTGCTGCTTACAAGATAACATAAATGCTCAAGGGTAAAGCCCTTGGTGTTGTTAATGTGGTCCATCAGCCTTCCCGGTGTTGCCACAAGTATGTCTACAGCACTCTGTAACTCCCAAGAAAAATCTTCGGGATCATAACACATGCCTGACTCAAGCTTTGGTTTCTTTATAAGCTGTGAGATTTCATCAGCAATGGAAGATTGCCCAACTGCCAACCCCACACGTAAATTTACTGCAGGTGCAAGAGTCTCAAAGACTTCCTTAACCTGAAAATGGAATTATAACTGGTAGTTAAAATATGCCTTAAAGTTTATAAATGTTCTCTGCAATTGAACATCTAAAATGCTCAATTTGAATTTTAATGAAATTGATTTTTGGAAATGGCACTTGAATCAGCATAATTGATTAAATTGCCTCAATGTAGATAAAAATATCATTTAGGCAATTGAGATCATTTACTTCTATACTATGATTGTGGGGTTATGACTGCAATCATTTCAGATTAGCAAAAAATTATGACATCATCCATAAATCTAGACCAGAACTCTATCTGTTCCATCTAGAAGTGGTGATATACGGTGATTCACTATATGAATTATGATGAAACAGAGTATTCATGGTCAAAATGTTATAACCAGCTATATCAGCAAATATAATTACTCTACCAAATCTAGCCCTTCTTAAGTATCAACACCATGTAGCCTTCTGCAAAAATATTCATACATTTTAAAACAAGTTACCCACTGTTGCCAGTCCTTTCCAAACTGAGATTATGAAAGCAAAACACAAAAGGGCAGTAAATCTGAAACCTATAGGCCCTTAGTGCATGTTTAATATGGTATTATGGTCTGATATGAGATATAGACATATAGTTCAGTTTACCTCCTGTAGCAGGCACTGACAATTTTAGACCTATACTCACTTTTGTTACCAAGGTGGGCCTGAGGAACCTATGAAATAGCATTCTGTAAAACCTTCTACATTATATATAAAAACTTACTCCGTATTATTTACCTTTATATAATTGTACATGACTTCTAGATTGCAAAAGTACATGAATACTATTGTTAATTCCCAAAGAAAATGAGCAAAATGGCCTTCATGAGAGGCATGTACACTGCAACAGGTCAAGAGAAAGAGAAAAAAAAAAAATTGTATACAAGACATGGAAATACTTGCAACTCAAGCATTAAATAGAATTATAAGCAAAAGAAGCATGATTTAATAACCTGCAGGGCCAAGTCACGAGTCGGCAACACCACCAATGCTCGGAGACATTTTACAGTACGATTTGAAAGCATCTGCACAATTGGCAATGCATAGGAAAGAGTTTTCCCACTCCCAGTAGGTGAATTTATACAAAGGTCTCGCTCAAAAGAGCCAGGTCCAATCGTCTCTTGCCAAACTGAAACTTGTACTGGAAAGAGGGACGTAATCCCCATATTTTTCAAAGCTGCCTCCAACCTAGTGAAGTAGTTATTGAAAATGAAGCATTGATTTGTAAGAAAGAGAGACGAAGGTGAGCCAAAATATTCAGCAATTAAATAAATAAACAACATAGCTAATAGTAATTGAATGAATATCCATCAAGAGTGGCATGTAAAGCATCCAAAGGTAGGGATCCAGAAAACTTCTGTCCTCCCAGCATGGCATAATAGTGATCAAAATTCTGTACCCATTTACCTTTTAAACTATAGTAACAAACTATAAAGGCACGATTATAAAAGTGGTATGTGGCTATGATTAACCATTTTTATTTAAAGTTGTGAATCAGTGATACCATTTTGAAGTAGTAACTTTAAGGAGTGTTTGTCAAACAGTAAAACTAAAATAAAAGATTAGCGCTAGACAGCTCAATTATCTTCAAAATCTATTTTTTTGGGGTCACAATTGGGGCACATGGATGGATTAAGTATCTAATAATAACAATAATAAGGATGAGGACGAAGACGAGGGTGCTCCAGGGGTGGACTACAGTTAAGGAGACATGCAATTACAATTTACAAGTGTGGCAAAGTGTTCCCAAATCCAGCACAGTATGCTGCCATTCATTATCTTGCATCTACTTCACACGTCTGGGCTATCGTGATGTGCATTAAAATAGAGCAAGTTTCCCCGATTCCAACATCTAATGCACGTATTATGTATTCTTTCAGGTCTTGTATTTTCAAGTTTAAAACTAAAATCTCCAACAATCTATTCAACCCCTTGGATATTCTTGTTTCCATTCAAATGGGATAAGCATTTCCAAGCCCATCACATAATGCACTTTCATTGCTTTCAGTGGGAATAAACATTATACAATGAAAATACATTTGATTTAAAGGAGAATTAAGAACTTTTCTGGTTAAATACAGTAATTTCAAGTCAGTTTGAGATAAAAATGTTCAAAACTGACTAGGGACACATTTAAAATTACAAATTGGCAAAGCTAGTAAGTCGAAAGTATAAGTGCAAAATGCAAATAAATTGAAGCTAAAGTGCAATTAAAAAAGCTAAGCATGCAAAATGCAAATAAATTGAAGCTAAAGTATCACGCATTTAAGTGCAGAACAAAGATAGTGTTTTCTACCTCAGGTCAAGAAAAGGGAGATGGTTGAGAGGGCATTCATCAATGACAGAGATATCAACTGGGTTTCTCATCCATGGCACCACTGGCACCCTATTCTTCTCACTTTTCTTCTTTTGCTCCGTTGCTTCCTCCATATCAACCACCAATTTCTCACTTCTCAGTTGGAGTTTTCAACAATCACGAAGCAACCACTTTCCAACCTCTCTCTCTCTCTCTCTCTCTCTCTCTCTCTCTGCAAAAATATTTCCACACACAGTGTATACGAATATGAACTTTGCGGAAGCAGCGGCGCGGGAGAGTCGGGTCGGGCTGCCGTTATTTTGCTGCCAAATTGACGGATTTTAATTACACCATTCAATTTCTGACGGGGAATACTGGCGTTTAGGGTTTTATGTGTTTAGATTTTAGAATTTTAAAGCTTGTTTATTACTGAAATACTGCATTTTCAAAAGTGATTTTATTGGCATATCGGTATATTACTCAATGTTGAAAAAATAGTTAGGCGATTGTGGACCGCTTAGAACGTCTAGGCGGGCGCTTAGGAGGCCGACCGCCTAGCGCCTAGACGCCGATTAGTCGGTGCCTAGGCGCACTGATATTACTCCGTATATTATATATTATATTTGTAACTAGGACTATATCATAAACTTCATAAAATGGTCAAATATTTATAAGTAAATTGAGTCAATATAACATCAAAATTCAACACCAAATATTTCACCCGTCTAAGAAACTCAATTCAAACTCAATAGGTAATGTTCAACTAAATCGAGTCAACATAAGCTTTTCAAAATAAAAAATCGAGTCAACATAAATTCAAAAGTCAACACCAAACTATTCACGGATAGGGCTGTTAACGAACCGAACATAAACGAACGGAGGTTGTTCGTGTTCGTTTGTTAAGGTTTTTAAATGTCTTGTTCGTGTTCTTTGGTTAAGCATTCATTAGTGTTCGTTAACATTCGCAAACACGTTCACAAACGTGTTCGTTAACGTTCGTGAACACGTTCGCGAATGTGTTCATTAATGTTAACAAACACGTTCGCAAACATGTTCATTAACAAGCATGTTCATGAACACGTTCGTGAACACTTAATAAACAAACACATGCACATGTTCACGATCACAATTTGTTCGTGAACAAGAAATATATATATATATATATATATATATATATATATATATATATATATATATATATATATGTTTGTGAACATGCTCACAAACATTCTTAAACGAACTTGTTCGCGAACACTAAATGAGCTTGTTCGCAAACATTATTAACGAACACAAACGAGCTTGATCGCGATCGATTAGCAAACGAGCTTACAACTGTTCAGACTCTGTTCGTTTATTAACCGAGCTCTATATTTTGTATTTTTGTTTGTTAATGTTCGTTTACCTTAATAAACGAACGTTTACCGAACACGAACACGAGTAGTTTGTCAAAAGCTCTGTTCGCTAACACCCTTATAATCACGGATTCACCTACACAAAGAACTCAACCCAAACTCACGAACACAAGTAGTTCGTCAAAAGCTTTGTTCACTAACACCCTTATAATCACGAATTCACTTACACAAGGAACTCAACCCAAACTCAAAAATCCGATGTTTGTGGCAAGAAGAATTAACTCTTTATTTTACTGTAAGAAACAAGTTTTAAACGATGCTTCTCATATACTATGCTAATGCTATGAGAACAATAATTTATTAACGAATTATTATGTTCTATGCATTTATACAATTACTATGATTATAATAAGCTAATAGCTATTTACCAAACATCCCAATATTCTCGAGTGCGAGTGTGCTACATTGCTACTATAATGTACGGAGTATAAACTTAGGTTTGCTGGAAGGTAATGTCATCAGGGCCCAATCCATTTGAAGCCCAACTAAGATGTTATCGGCCATTCGGCCATGTTATCACACCTCCCTCGTTCTCTACAAAACCCTATTTCGAAAATTTTCACTATATAAATTGGAGCTCTTAACCTAACCTCAATCATCAACCTTCCCGTTTCACAATCGCTTCCATCGTCTCTGTTCACATTTGTTTTTCGTATGTTTTCTTCTTAATCTTCTATCTTAATTCGTGTAATTTTTGCCTCTCAAGCAGAGACCTTATTGTTAAGGTTGGCTGTTCTTCTCCGTACATGTATGGAAGCGAGGCAGAGATTCGTGCGGGAAAGTTGAGTCGCTTCGCCGTCGTTGTTTCACCGGCGCAGCAAATTAGATCCTGCTATATTATTATTATTATTATATTATATTATATTACAATGAAAATTCTCAAATTTTTCGTATTTATTCGTCTTTATTTGTTTCAGTAATGCAAAAGATGGGGAAATCCTGTGATGGCATGAAATCTTTGAGACCTGATAGTCTACTTTTGATGACAAATATAAGCATTTTACTGAGGATTCTCCCACTTTGAAAGTTTTGTTTTGTTTTGTTTTTTAAAATTGTTTCTTTGAGAAATTGAAATGATGATCGCACTGGGCTCTGAGCAGTTTGATTAAAGACTGCTAATTTGATGCACACTGCAGCCTAGAAAGCTATGTCTGATCTCTCATTGTTTTCTTTTTGGAGTCTAATTTCTATGATTAAAATTTGTATAATAATTGGGGTTAAATTTAGGTTTCATTCTTATAAATTTGTTGAAAATTTGGATTTTTTTTCATTTTGTTCCATTTTGCATTTTTACGTCCCGTATATTGTTCATTAATCAAATCTATTATTTGTTCTTTTTATAGCTAATCTACATTTTGGTCTCTCAATTTTGTCAATTAACAAAATTTTGATTAAATTTGTTGAAATTGAAGATTAAGGACTATATTGACAATTCAGAAAAAATTATCCGGGAAGGAAAATAAACATAGATTTTTGGTAACCTTTTGAACTGCCAGCAAGAGACTTTGAATTGCCAGCAAGAGACTTTGAATTGCCAGCAAGAGACAACTTAGTGAATTGAAACATCTTAGTAGCTAGACAAGAGAGAACCTGACAAACAGAATTCTTAGTAGCTAGAGGAAAAGAAAGCAAAATATTATGAATTTATATATTAATATATTATGAAAAATTAAATTTAGAAGAACTAATTGAATAAGATATATTCTTCAAAAAAAGAAATTGAATCAGATGGATTGGACGAAGTATCTAATTTCAACATCAATATCCCAAGTGAAATCTGGGAAACAAATGGAATTGTAATAATCCTATAAATGCTGGTAACGATTATTGGGGAAGGGCATAAACTGTTGTGCAGAATTAATAAATACAATAAATTTATATTGGTATAGACAGATTACAAATTGAAATATTGAGAATAAGTCTACTTTAAATAGTCATGGCTTCAATTAACGAAAACGGAAGCCTTATATGACAGCAGAGGTCAGGGAAAATTATGAGAGCAAGAGTGGTTATTATTGTTTTGATGAAGACAGTTCCATGAAAAATATGTCTGGTATCTTAAACTCAGTGTTCCAGAGCACTTCGGATAGAAAGCGGAGGATCCTGAACCACGCCTTTGGATATAAGATCATGGTTTAAGAATAAAACAATCACAGTTATATCATCATGGAAATGGCGTCGCACTTTTTTGTCAATTCTCCGGAGGTCCGAGTACCGCATCTCTCTCTTCTTTGCAGCTTCTTGCAGTGCTGCCTTGATCAGCCGTTTTGCGCTTCCCTGCATGTTAAAAGTTATGAGCTTGTAGTTGTTTAAAAGCTGCCAGTGCTTCTTTTTTTTTTTTTTTTTTGGGTCAGATCATGAGCTATCTTGAGCAGACACTAACTGTAGGAGGTAAGGGAAGTGTTGGGGTCAAATTGATTTTTTCATACGAGAGGGAGTTCGAACTCCCGACCTCTCTTAAGGGATGAGAGTGTACGAACACTCACGTCAACCAAGCTGGTTTCATAATCAGTGCCTTTTGCACCGGGTATAGAAAGTTATGAGCTTGTAGGTGTTTCAAAACTGCATAATTGGTGCCTTTTGCACTGGGTAGAGAGTTATGAGCTTGTAGTTGCAAAGCTACATAATCGGTGCCTGTTGCACCAGGTACAGATACATGGAAGGCATTGGGGCATGGTATAGTCATGCATAGCATGGCTACCCGGAAGTGTTGGTGGTGACAGTTCTACTGCTAAGAATATCGGAAGATCATGCAATTTGGTGTAACAGTTCTACTGCTAAGAATATTAGAAGATCATGCAATTTGGTGTAGAGAATTATGTGATAAGAGAAGATTGTGTAGAGGGTGGAACTTACAGAGTGTGGATGGCTTTTCACAATATCCACGGCCATTTCATTGCTCAAGTGCTCCCATAAACCATCAGAAGCGAATATGAGGAAAGAATCGTTAGGGTGTAGAGGATGAGTTAAAATGGATGGGGTTGCAGACAAGATTGGCATGTCTATAGGTTCTTGAAGTCTGAATTTTGCATTTATTGGCTCCCTGTTAAATTGCTGATGTTTCAAGTAAACATCACCAATGGATCTTGAGATCTGCATTAATGACAAAACCTGATTTGATTAATCAGAAATCAAAATACAAAAGTAGAATGTAATTGTTAGATGTACTAATAGCTGAACAGACCAATAATTTGTAGCATAAGAATGTCACCTTGTATGTATATACTCTTATGTATACAACAATAAATCCACTTTGAGTTCATCTTGATTACCCGTTGCACTATAAAATGAATGCATCTTGTAATCACTCTATAGGATAGTCAAGGGTTAAGAAAGTTGAACCACATTTCTATATTCATCAGTCCATTAAAAAATGTCACTTGAGTTTTGTATAAAGACTAAGGCTCGCAGTTTGGATAACTAACAACAAGGGCAGTCACAAGAAAGGCCTTAGATTTTCAAACAAAAACATTTGAATTGAGAGTGAGGAATGGCTGGTGAAGTTACCTGAATTATGCCTTTCACTCTCCAAACCCCATGTTTGAGAACAACGATTTGGGGATCATTTGGATGTAATGCTTTGAGCTCCTGTCTAACAGCGGCAAGGTTAGCATTATGCTCCTCTGACAACGGTATAGCAGCGATTTCCCCGGTACTACCTACCTTCTTCCCCAGCACAACCCGAGAATCTCCGAGACTGGCGATGAAGAGAGTCTGCTGTGATATTACCCCAACTAGGCAGCAGGTACCAACTGTTGCCAGATGAGGTTGAGAATTCCACTTGTCTGAAACAAGGTCAGTGAATCCCCTCTCAGTCTCCGAGAAAGCTCTTTGGATCATATCAGCAGTCACAACGCCGTTCTCTTCAGTTGCTGATATTGCTGCACCAACATTAAAAGCTAAGAATACAAACATAAACAGAGGGTTTCCTTTATGACACCATTAACACTTCATTTACTCGGGGTGAATCCTATGGAACTATGACACTCATATAAGCCATATATAAAAGATGAATGCACTATTTTTAAACGATCATTCATGAACTTAAGCAATAGCTCCAACATAATCAGCACTGCCATTTACAGCTGAAATAAAAATTCATCTGTTTAACCTCAAATTTGAAAACTAATGTACTTAAAGGAAGCATCATAGACTTTATAGTTGCAGCTCTAGAATCTCAACAGCCATTGGCAATGCCATTCCCTATCACAAACTTAAAAGACCTTCAAATGATCAAATAGTGAAAACTGACCAATGAATCCTATCATCTTTGCGACTCCTTATAACATAACATCCTCTCGACATTCTTTTAATCTGTAGAACAGAAACCGTAGTCTAGAGATACGTTAAAATGGGCTCGCTAATTCTATGCTGTCTCTCATCTAGCTAGTGTCCTTTACCTATGTTTTGGGAGTAATTGCAAATTGCCAGATATAGTAACAACAAAAGCTTTAAAGACCATCATCATCAATTCATACCAATGTAAATGCAGCAAAACCTTGTGCAGTCTGTATTCAACACCCAAAACACAATCAAGATCACTAAATCAAAAACCACAGTGATCTAATCTATGAATTCAGGTTAAGAAAGAACATGAAAGCTAGGTCATCAACACTCCCCCAGTCAATCAGCTCAAGAATCAATATATTTCTTCAATTGGAATATAGCCACGACAATTCTACAAACACATGATCTGCACACTATTTACTCCAATCCTACATTACTCGGCCATGCCCAATTCCAGCTAAATGAGCATAAATATCACAACTCCAACCTCAAACACACAAGTCAAACGCAATCCAAGCAAAAGAGAGAAAAAGTAAAAGGAAAACCCCCAAAATTGGATAGGCTACCAGTACGAACCTTGGAGATGTCGAAACAAATTATCGCAGACGTAGCGAGCAGCATCAGGGCCACCATGGCCATCATAGACTCCAACGAAGGTCCCGAACCGACCCGACTCAATCCGGCTCTGATCCTCCAGCACCCGATTCGCCTGCACGACGGCCATCGAGAACTCCCCGCCCCCGTATCTCCCAACATCGTGATACCACAGCAGCCCGTCCCTCCCAAACGCGCCATTGGAGGAGCTACTGTAACTCCCTGCGCCGCCGCCGCCGCCGCTACTATTACTATTCTCACTAGTAGTATTGCTCCAGCACAGCGAGAGGAGATTCATCAAAGCTCCTCCGAGCATCCCACATGGAGCTCCGAAATGGGGAAAAAAATAAAAATAAAATACAATAAAATAAAATAAAAAAAAAAGTCAAATTGGGGCAGAGCTAGCTAGCTAGCACAATGTTATGTGATTATATAAATATAATAAGTGATTGTATATAGAAGTGTGTATGTATATGCAGAGAGAGAGAGAGAGGGGGGAGTAGGGGGTGTTGGGTGGAGGAGGAACAAGGCAGGAAGGTGTTCATTCCGTTTACAAGGACGACGAGGCTGAAGGGGGGGCACTTTGTCGGGTGTTGTTTTCAATGTCTGGAATACGTATTTTCTTCCCCGTATACGCGTCGTATACGCGCTCTGCCTCTATACTACTCTCTACTATCCACTTTTTGATGCAATCCTGCAATAATGATTGATGTGATTACTATATTGAGAGGGGTAAATATTTATTTTTCGCCAACAAAATATGAAATCTCTCGTTTCAAAGGTCTCACATCTCTGCCTGACTAAATTGCGAATAAGTAATGACAGTTCATTACGTGGAAGATACGCTCACAAGAAGTCACGTGCTCGATCATATGTCATTGTCTAAAATCATAAACCAACTGACCTACCTATATAGATAATTATTTTTTTACTTTACCGTATCAAAGTATGAAGAATGGTCATTAGTGACCTTACCATGGCCGCGAGTAATTACCTTTTTATGGTGGAATTAGAAAAATATTAGATGGACTCTCACTTCTTACTCCTAACTTTTACTCATTCTCACAAATTCTTGATGTAGACACTTCTCCGAGAGTCCCACATGATGAAAATATCATATCTCTATGTAGTCCGATCATGGACTAAAAGTGAGGAAGTAGAATTTGGGAGTACAAGTAGTAGAACTCATGAAATAATTGTCATGTTTTAATTGTAGGATAGTCGTTACTTATGAAGACTTATGGCTTCATTTAGTCTATAATAATGACTAGTTATAATTATATTTAACAACTGGTATGATTGAACTAATTTCGTGAGTTGATTCAAGATCTCTAATTGGTTATTCGAGTCATCGTTGCCATTGAGCTTCTTAAGTCATTTGGGCTGATATCATAAACTACATTCAAATTAGTCAAATTTTATACTCCAGAGTCTGGACTAAACTTTTGAGAATTTCTCAATCCTTAATGTATGACTTTTGTATCAAATTTTGTAATTGATTTACTTTTACAATTGCAATAGGCTCTTTACAAAAATCAAACTCCAAACCTTATAATTGTGGATTAATACTCTACTTGTCGCTACTATGAACTGTTAGGCTAAAAATGACAACTTCTCATAATCAAATGCTAAATTTGGTCGATTTTGACGTGGAAGACTAAAGTGAAAAAAATAATCAAAGTGGATAACAAGTTCTATGTTTGAGAAGTTTTTGGATAAAAGTTAACTTTGTCAATGCATATTAGTTGGACGAAACAAAATTTGTCCATATCAAAAGCTATTGGGCCAGCTCATATTCAAAAAAACAGAGCTCAGGATATTTTTAAATATTTGGGCTATATAGCATTTAATTAAAGGGAGGCCCACTGTTTCTCAATTATCAATGCAGCAATACATCCAAATAGGTCAAAACGGCGCCGTTAGTTTTAACGGAGTGTGTATTTTTTTATATGTTAATTATCGACTGATATTAGAGTATATCTAAATCGATATTGCCTCACGTATTATTTTTATATTATCAAATGAAACTGCAGTTATATCAAAATGATACCGTAGTTGTGGTGAAATGAAACTGCTGTGTATATAAAATGAAACTGAATAACATTTCATATATTTGATTATGTAGTTGTACAATGATATAACTGTAATTATTGTACAATAAAACTATAGTGTATATAGCATTATAGTTTTGTACAATGAAGCTGTAATTATATCAAAATGATCATGTAGTTGTGTTTTAATAAAACTATAGTGTATATAAAATAAAATTGAATAACATTTTCATATATTTGAGTCTATAAATATTGAATAAAACTGTAGTTATATAGAAACGAAACTGCAGTTGTGTTGAACAGAAACTACAGTGTATACAAAATGAAACTGAACAACAGAGTTACTTTTTGCGGAAGGGTGCGGAACGGCGGGAAACGGATGCCGTTTCTTTTCATTAAAAAAAATGACGTCGTTTTGATACGCGATGCATAATCGATTATGCACTGCGGTGCACGATATAATTTGCCCATAATGGGACAACCCAATCGATTTGATCGGACGATTAGTTTAATAAGAGTTAAATTCAGGAATCATCCCTTGATTATTATTATTTATTACATTTTATGTTTCGACTTTCAATTGGATCAGCTCATATGCAAACAAACACCAATAGTTATGCTGTAGAAACGCGTTCATCATGCGCATGGTGAACACCAGGAGTAGATCCATAATTTCTATACTGTAGATTCATAATTTTTTTTGAAAATGTAGATTCATAATTTTGTTTTTCATTTGTTGTTAACGGGATAGATCCATAATTTCTAAGCTGTAGATTCATAATTTATATATTGTAGATTCATAACATCTATACTGTAGATTCATAATTTCTATACTGTAGATTTATAATTTCTGTACTATAGGTTCATAATTTCTATACTGTAGATTCATAATTTCTATACTGTAGATTCATAATTTATGTAACAATAAATGAAAAACAAAATTATGAATCTACGTTTTAAAAAAAAAAAAAAAATTATGAATCTACCCATGTGTTCATCATGCACATGGTGAACACATTTTCACATCATACTTTTCGAACAAATACTATGAACTCAATAGTTAAGAGATCATTTATGATTCAATTGAAAGTCAAAGAATAAACATTGATAAATGTCAATAGTTAAGGGATCATTACTAGAATTAACTCGTTAGTAATTATAAAATTTTAAGTTTAATTCATTGTCTAAACTACTTACTGGCCTTGAGCTGGTCAATTGTGATCCATGCTATTTAGAATTACAAAACGGAATTCATCCAAAGCCATTCAAGTCTATAGACATTTTCATAATTAAAAAATAATTCATTCAAATGCTATTTCCTTTTTTTTTTTTTTTTAAATGAAGAACATCGCTATTTTTTGTCAGTAGTAAAATACACCGTTCATCTATTTTATTTTACCTATCATATTTACTATCCATTAATCAAAACAACTATTTATACTTAATTTTTTTTTTTAAACCAACCGCAACAAGGCTACATCATTAGAAATTTCTACTTTAATTATTTTCTTTTAGTATTTAAATTTGTTTTTTTTTTTTTGGTATTTATTCATACTTTTAACGTAATTTCTAAATATATAAAATGTATATACTAACACCAAGCTTAAATTTGTGAAAAAATGTAATTGTAAATAATTTTAATTAAGTATTATTAATTGAACCAAACACATAAAATAAACAAAAACCTTATTTAATATTAATGAAATATTTAGTTCTTGCCTAATCTAATTAGTCCAAACAAACAATGTTGGCAGATCTTGTGGAACAACCCAATATTTAGAAGCCCATTAAACTAGTGCACGCCATCTAAGCAATAGTTATTGCTAGGATCGTGGTCCTCACAATTGTATAAATTACGATCTAAAATGACATCGTTTTGTGTAATAAAAAAAAAAATACGTGACCCATATAAAGTACATTATTTTAAAGTATAATGTACATTATTTTAAAACATAATATTTATTATTTTAACTCATAAAGTACATTATCTTATCACAGAAGTTTTATTATTTTAACACATAATATATATTATTTTAACACATAAAATACATTATTTTAACTCATAAAATTCAACGACGTCGTTTTGAATCGTGGTCCACACAACTGTATGGATCACGATCGATACAAGTGTGAAAATCTCATCTTTTAATATTTTAAAGTGGCGAGATTTTCAAAAATTTATATTACATAAAAACCTCTTTGAACCAAATGTCCCAACTTATATTTTTTGTGATCCATCTCTTTTTAGTGGATTCCAACTAAGCATTGTATTAATTCAAATCCAGCTAAAACCTTTGTCAATGAAATTAAGGCCCCAAAAACTCCAAAACCTAACCTTGAAAGGATCTAGCATAGTTTGGGGGCCTTAATGTTTTTGCAGCCAACCAAAAATCACAAACAAAAACCAACAAAAAAAAAGGTCAATTCCAACACTATTTTGATATCTCTAAGAATTAAAGCATATTGGAATTATGTCAGACCCATAGTGCTTTGTTGATGAGTTATCCCTTTCCTTGCAAAGTTGTTACAAACTGAGGCTGAGACATATCCTCAGCTCACCCCACTCCCTACTTGTGCTCATGTTCCACTTCAAAGGTGACACATTTTCACTTCCAACTTCTCCACTTGCACACTAGTTGTTTTTAGGTCACGATAATTTGGTATATGACGTCAATTTTCTTTTGTTGTTTAGTATTGAAAAACTTTCTATTGATATTTGATTGAGAATTCATTATGTGATTGTATCTATGTTATCATAGATGCTGGAATAATAGACATGGATACATCTTAAATAGATCATCACGACATAATCCAATCACCTTAGGGCTTAATCTAGTCTAAATGCATCACAAACTACTGAACTAGTATAACGGTTGAACATAGAGATTTGGGTATGGGATACGTGGCCCACAAGAATCAACTCTAAATGTAGCCTAGCTTCGGAGACTCAATTCGATAGGGAATGTTTGTTGGAGGGCATTGTAAGAATAAAAAGGGGAAGCCCGCACGAGTTTACCAAACTTTATAGTTATATCATATTTAAATTTTAGAGTTGAATATTTATCAAAGTAATATGAAATAGTGTTGTTATTTTATTGACAATAATTCACAAACCTATATAGCATCAAACTTTATTTGAGAAGAGGGGTTGGGACAGTAGCATACTGAATTCAAGAAAGGGACAGTTGTCTTTACCCTATCAAGATGTTCATCAATAGATGATCGAAGGCATCTTTAGATGGGTCATGGGCCATAAAAATAGTACTAATAACTATAAATTCAACAACCTAAATAAGAACATTTTCTTTGAGAAGACCAATCATATCCAGCCAGCCAAACAGCCATAATAATAATGCATTACCAAGCCATAATACAATTATATCCATATAAAAATACCTATGACCAAAAAAGGAGGTTTAAGTTTTACCTTGTTGCGGTTAGACGGTTAGAGTGTACAAGCATTTGGGAGCCGTATTTCACTTGAGACACTTCTCACAGTTTACTTTTTCTACTATTATAGTAGATTATTGTCCGTAGCTAATCAGTTTAAACTATGAAGATTAATAGATAATTTTTATACGCGTTGAATCACATTTCGCAGTTTATCTCCTCCGCTAGTTTTCCGGATTGTTTTTATAAGAAACATTAACAGGGCGTTTGGTTGAAGGAATTTAAATTCCCTTCCTACTTAATTCCCACCTAATTCCAAAGGTCACAAAATTTCCTTATTTGATTGAAAGGAATTGCAATTCCTCCATTTTCATGGAATTAAAATCCCATGTCCCCCCTGCGATTTTAATTCCAGGAATTATAGGAAGAAAAAAATATAGTGATGAGTCAAAATTACCCCCCCTCCCCCCCCCCCCCCCCCCCCCTTTTTTAACTTAAAATTAATGTCTAACAACAACAATGGACATTTTTGACTTTATACTACTTATTCCCTTTCAATTCCCATGTATACCAAACATTGGAATCGAAATTCTCAGTAATTCTATTCCTGTAAACCAAACACTGGAACTTAAATTCTCACTTTATTCCCAGTAATTAATCTCTCATTGAATTGCAATTTCTTTCCCACGTAATTCCCCATCTCCAACCAAACGCCCTGTAAGAGTAGGTTCTCCATAGCTAACAAACTCAAACCAACAAGGCCAATAGGTCGCTCCCATGAAAATCAAACTTGGAACCTTGTGATTACTAAGCCAATTGTTCGACCAACTCGGCTGAGCTCATCTCAAATCCCATAATAAAGTTAGCAAAGAGGCCTTAGTTCAAGTCAACTAGATAAATTGGGCATTTAGTTTATGGCAGCTTCAGCTAGCAAAACCTTAGTATCAGCAGAAATCATAAAACCTTTGAATGTCCCACAGGCCAGCTTTTCAACCACTCATATTGCAACCTGGTAGTTGGTAGGTAGATGACCATTTTCTGGGCAATAATTAATCCAGTTACACAATTACATCCAATTAGAAAAGATTATCAGATGTAACACAGTAACATTAATACGTTTATTATCATGAGTTTTAACAATTAATTGTTGATAAGGACTTTGTTGTTGGAGAGATAAGCCAATACCAGGATGTTGAAAAAGCTGTCTGATATTCAGAGGGCAACTGTCCTCCATCAGCCCTTTTGCATGCCATAATGCTGTTAGCAGCATCACTTGGATGGTAGGGATCCCAAAATTAATACATACTTTGATTTCAGATGAAGGAACACATGGTATCAAATTAATGAAACATTATGTCGAGTTCCATCCAATTTGAAACCGTATAAACGATACCATGACGGTCAATGACTAATGACAGAATTGTAAATGATCGATGTACCCTTAGCTGATTTCTGAGTTTTGCTGTCGTGGCAGCGACGAATAATGCTTAGGGAGGGACTAATTTCTGGTGCAGGGTTGAGTTAGGGCGTGTGAAGTAACAGTTGATCTTGTGTGAGACTATCTTTATACGTGAAATGATTGATTTTGTCGATAAATCGTTTGATAAGCGAGGCAATTGTTACAGAAAACATTATTGCATTCTCAAACAGGTTCATGGTTGCTGTCAAATCTAGGACAGTGACTGTGTCTTGTCTGGTGTCTGCAAAACTGTCTAGCTGTGCATCCAAGTTGATCCTTCTATAAGATTTTTTCTAATAATATATATTATATATTAGGGCCTTAATTAAGTGGTGCAAATGAATTAGACTTATTAAATGGTCTGGTTGGACTGAATAACTAGAAGTTGTTAGTTCACCAAATTCTGTGCCTAATATAATTCTGGATTGATGGGATATTGACATTAGTACATTCAGTTACGGTACTCAGATTACTCAGTAGATACCAATACACCATCTAAGGTTCTGAGTCAGATCTGAGACAAAACATGACTGACAGTGAGGTAAAACATGGCTGACGGTCTATCGACAACACAATAGAAACATCAACTACACAATAGAACCAATGGCAAAATAAATAAAATAAAAAAGATAAACAACAATGTATTGATGATAAGACTTGTCTAGAAATCTTACAAAACATTATCAAGTTTCATTGGACCACTTGTCACCCATAATCTGATGTGACTCTAACATATTATACATTGTTCTGTTTCAATTACAAAGTTACACTGATAATTAGACAGATTTTCCCATAATTAAAAAAAATAAAAGGATTTTTGATAAATATATGTATCTAACATTGACTCAATAATCATAAAATAAAACATACATGAATAATCTTCATAAACCATAACTTCTTAATAACAATTAAGAATATAATAATTGTGTAACAAGTAAATGTCACAAGATAATAATTGTGACTGACGTTTTCCTAATACAATGTGTTGCAGTTCCTCCTAATCACGCCGCGATTCCCAGTAAGAACATTCGAAGAAGAAAGCTTGACGAACGCCGACGAGAAAGCCCGGAAAAACTCTTCCCCGTTGGCCGCAAAACGTTTGACGTGGCCGGCGGTCCGCGGGTCGATCGGCATCGCGGCGTCAATGTTCAGGACTCCCCGCCCGCTCACGGCGTTAACGTAGTAGCGGTTGTCAAACGTTAGAGAGGTGCGGTCGTTGGGCACGGTGGAGATGTTCGCGCTTGACGCTCCCATCGGACAGTTCAAACTTAGCAACGCCGCCAAGTCCGCCGGAACTTCACTCCCCCGTTGAGCCTTTGAATCGAACAAACGTCTCCGAACGTTAACACAATGCGTTGCTCCGATTGTATGGGCTCCTATAACAATATATTTGCAATTATATTAAATACCTATAATTTGTTGAGTGATAAGAAAAATAATCCACAACTATCTAAGGTATAAACTAAATAAATACACTTTAGGTTTTTGATAAATAACTGTTAATCGATACTTGTTAGTTGATTAGGTTAGTGCGTTTAACTAGTTGATAGCATTAGTTGATTGTAGAAAAGTGTATCGACTGATTACATACAAAATGATTTTCACAAAAACTGATCGAAAAAACTACTTTGAGCATCTTTTTGAATTTTAGCATTTTGAAGTAATACGTTGTTACAAAATGCTAATTAATTAAGAGTTTTAACACATGTACTCCCAAATTCTACTCCAACACTTTTACTCCATGACATGACAAACAAAGATTGGCTATTTTCATTATGTGGGTCCCAAAGAATATGTCTACATAAAAAATTTGTGAGAGTGAGTAAAAGTTGAGAGTAAGAAATGGTGGTGCATATAGTATTTTTCATTAATTAAACACTCATATTGATCATTTAATCAAGTCACTAATAGTGATCAAATAAGTCAAAATTGACTGATGGACTAACTATTTTACCAAATAGGATCTTTGTAATCTTAGCTGAAAAAAATCACAAGTAGCAAGGTAAACTAGCCTAGCTGTTCATAGCTTACGGTTGGCCAGACCAACTAGGAAGTCAAATTTATAATCTTATAAAGTTATAATTACTAAGTCAATCAGTTTGACCAACTTGACTAATGATTAGGTTTTCTAGAATAGCTAGGAGTTTAAGTTTGTGTGTTGGGCAAACCTATAATGGCGACGGATTCTTCAACGGTGAGACCTTTCTGGCCGAAAAGGTGGAGCATGTCGTCGACTCCGGTGGTGGCCGGAGGGAGCAAAGAGTCGGCCAACCTATAATCGGGAGGATCGGAGGAATCTCTACGGCCCAAGGGAACATCAATCGGCGGTCCTCCGGACAGCGCAACCGAGTCGCGAGCCGCTAATACGAGAATGTCGGCGCAGGAGACTCGCCGCGGGCACGCAGCTTCCACCACCGACTTGATTGCGTTTATCACCTCCCTCTTTTGTACGCCAAAGTTCTTACCGGACCGCATCTCCGATTGGAATGAATCAATAAGTATAGACGCATCACACCCCTGCATGTCACTCAAGAACGTGAATTCAAAATATCCTCATTTCAATTAAAAATTTAAACTTTTATTAACGAAATAATAAATGAATAAATCATGAGCTACTGCTATGTAGTGGGATGATATCTCACCAAAGACTATTTCAGTTTATCTGTAATATATGTCATATTAGTTGCTTTAAAGAAAATGAATAAATCATGATAATGGATATAACTCTCATCACGAATACAGTACTCATTTTAACTACAAGTTTAAATCTGCCTACAAAAGAAGAAATTTTCACGTTCTTAGGACCCACGCCCCTACGGCCCTAACCACATAATAGTGAAAAGGTAAATCATGCATGGTAAATTGGTAACTCTCAACAGCCCATTAGTTAAAATGACTAATGTTATGCTCACAAAGAGTCCACCACATTAAGTGTAACTCTACACTGCAACTGTTAAGACATCTAATATCCAAGAATCAACTGATATATACCTGAACTTGGCAGTCATGGAACATGAGCCTTAGCAAGGCGGCGGGGGTGGTGGGATCGGAGAGGAGGAACGTTTGGGTAGCACCTCGAACAATGGTCTCTAGTTGAGGGCAAGACTGGTCGTAGAAACCATAAGAAAGGCCATTATTATTCTGGTGAATAAGGTTATTTGTTTGTCCTGCAACTCCAGACAAGACAACCTGAAACAATAGAAACATGAATGAAATTTTCTCAGACAGATCCATTTTAACCATTCAAGAGGTTTCTGGGATCGGATCTGGCATGGCAGGATGGTACAATACACGCACTTATATAAATGCTCGCATTGCATGCAGGCCGGCCCCGGTTTGTTTTTTTGATATCACGTACACCAACTTGTTATTTTTTTAAGAACAATAATAAAACAGTGACCAAATTTAATGTTCTGCAAAGTTAGTTAGTACGGTTCCAAATTTTCAATTTTTGTATCTTATCTCTCCATTTACATACCCTCTTATCCATTTACATATATACAATATTTATAACACAAAACAAAATGTCAGAATCAAATGCTTCAATAGTTCAATTTTCACTATGACAAAAACTATAACTAATAATAAAATCATATATAGCCTGCATGGGCAGCTCAACTGGTCATAGAGATGAAATTTGAGAAGAATGAGCAGAGATCGAGTCTCATCAACAGTAGTGTATGTGGGTTACAACTCATGATCATCAAATAATTTCTTTTTTTGTTCCAACATGTCCTAGATGTCTTCTAACACTCGTTCTAACGTCACTTGTGATCATCAATTTTTTTTTTTTTTTTTTTTTTTTTTGGAGAATTCTATTGCAAACTTTTAAATTTCCTACTATGTCTGCATATCATAATTAGTCACGAGTGCAACAATGTGGGTGAGAGTTTTGATATGATATAATAAGATTGAGTGTTGGAATTTATTGAAGTGAGACACTTTTCAACGCCTAAAGGCTAAAGTTGGAAAGTGGGGCAGGGTATAGTTAGCAGCTAGCAAATCGTGTAGTATGAATGTATTGTTGATAGGTCAAAGCTGCACTCTTAATTTTCATACAACCTAACTAAACTCGCAAAATAATTGTCATTTTAGATCTAAATTAAAAATAAAAATCATAGTATAGTTTGCGAGGTAACCTCAAGATCATAGAGCTATTATTTGATGGTGTGCATTACGTAAATTTCACCCTTTTGTAATAATTGTGGAACTATACCTGAGAAGTAAAATCATAAGGAGTATTCATATACATGAATTGTTTGTTCCACGGTTTATTTTAGGAAAAATAACAGTGTGATCATGGGTTATAAAATAAGTTTAATTTCATCCTTGAGTAATATGGTGCTACAATAGTATGTCTAATTAGTCACTAAGGTGACAGATTAAATTTAGTCATCTTACAATTACCATTATTTTGAATGAAAAAATTACATGTGTTTCTAACATGAGTTGTAATTGAAGGTTATTAATTTATTAGTAATTTTTGAACGCTACAAGTATTTATTTCAAGTATTAATGATTCTAATCTCACATTACGAAAAACAAATACCCTAAACCTAAACACATGTTCTCTTCTCCATCTGAAATCAACCGAATCATCCATGTGACATGCTCCTATGTAAAAAATAATTACTAATCTGATTCATCTATTTGGCATATCGATGGTTGAGGGTTGCTGATGAAAAACAAAGAGAAAATTAATGAATGATCACTTTTTATAAATATTGTAAACTTAGCTCGAAAATTTACAATAATTATAAAATTAAGTCCACATTTTTTTTTTATTAAAAATACTCAACTATTGACAGGCAAGTGGACAACTATGATCCGTCCTTGATCTTTGATTCCTTCTCAATGTTTGGTATGTTGGTTTTATCAAATTATCATTTTTATTGGAATCCCTTTTTTTCATATAAAATTTAGTGAATACCCGTTACATATTTTTCTTAATATCAATTAAAATATGATCAAATAATTACTTCCGATAAAAATTAAACCAAGTCACCATGACCTGCTAGTTTGATAGCCATCCATCCAATGCAAAAAGAAAGAGCAATGGCTATATTGAAGCACCATTGTAGCAAAACACAATTTACGCTCCAAACAATAATCACATCCATTAACTCCTTCAATATGCCTCTGCTAAAACTATATTTAATCCACTCATAAACAAAATGCAGAAAAGTCTATGATCCACCTTTCACCTTTGATCTCCAAAAAATCATGATGAACACTTTATTATCTCCTTTGCAATACTTGTTAATCTTTGTCTCTCTCATTATCACCCCCTATTTTCTTCATGGATTCCAAGCCAAAAGTGTCATTGACTCCCCACTTTTAACTAAGAAAATTGGAACCAATAATAATGTCATTCTTGTAGTTGATCCAAATGGAGATGGGGATTTTCAATCTGTTCAAGCAGCAATTGATTTTGTTCCTCGAGGGAATTCCAATTGGGTAATCATACATGTCAAAAAAGGCGTTTACAGGTAATTAACTCCCCTCTTAAAAGTTTTCTTCCCGGATTGAAAATTTATTGTCAAATGAAAAAGTGTTCAATTTTTCTTAACTAATTAATTAAAAGTCATTCTCAAAAAAAAATTAATTAAAAGTCTGGTTCTATTTATACGGCTATATGACCAATTGAGTTGTCCATGTGGGTTTCAAATTGTTCATTGATTTTATTGGTTTGAGCCAGTTAGTTATAAATAACTTAAAATTAATTTTTTTTAGAATATTTTATTAATTACCATGCAAATTTAGGTGGGTATGAGTTTTTTTTTTTTAATAGCTGGAGACAAATGGTTTAATTTCCAGAAAATCAGTGAATTCATATGATGCATGCAGACAAGATTTGGAGCAACAATAGTGGCAGCCTTAAAGCTGTCCAACTAAACCATTTACAACTGTACTGTTGGATGCAACAACATGTGACTGTTATTACGTTGTTTTTCAAGGTGTAATTGCAGATTATATTTTTGCAATATATCTCCAAAAGGCTGAACCCCAACCCTAAAGCCCCCTGGTGACTCAACTGAACATGAACCATAAAGGTTAGACCGGTGTTCACTGCACACAAGGAATCTCCCTCACTTTGAGAGGTTGCTCTCACACTGCCGCTGGTAAGACTCGATCCTGGTCATTCTTCCAAAATTTCACCTCTATGACCAGTTGAGCTACCCATGCAATATATATATATATATATGTACTGTGGAGTGAGAATGAGCTGAGCATGTGACTATCACATCTCCAATTTTGACTGAGCGGTACAAGGAGCGACACCAACTCCGCCGCCCTCCTCCCTAACCCCAACCTGCTCCCAGCTGCCGGTACTCGCCGGCGGCACTTAATTAAGATAGTCAAACACCGACCTATCTAAATTATCGGTCCTTTAATCATCATTAACTCCTTCATCAATCAACAAATTAAATTAAATAAATTTGTGTGTATATATTTCTATGTTTATAATAAATAACTGATGTAATATATTCCAGAAGGTGCATAATTGGGTGTAAAATCGGTTAATCAACCGAATTGACAAATTTCAATTAACCGTTTTTTATCAAAATATTTAGATTTGGTTAATAATTTTTTAAAATTTGTATGTATGTGTGTGTCCGCACTTTTAATTTTTTAATAAATTTTAAATCAACCTATTATACTATCTTTTAATTTACTTTTTTTTTTCCATTTATAAAATTAATGATGAAATGACTATTTGTGGTGTGTAACTATGAATTGGAACTTTTTGATTTACAAATTTTAAAGATTTTGAAAATTTTAGTTTGGTTAATTTGGAAATAGGAAGTTTGGTATGGGTAACTGCTAAGACATTTTGCAAATTTGGTTAATTTAGGTTGGTTAACTCGGTTCGATTATTAACCAAATTAATTAACATTTGTAAATATATTTTGCAATTTGACAAAAATTTAATTCTGTCAAATTAGTATGCTTGGAATTTTTAATTATTTTTATATATTAATATTTTAATATTGGACATATTTTTGCACATACATCATGCATGCATACAAAATGCTAGTTATTTATATAGAGTATCATATTGGTTACCATTTATTGAAAGAACATATTAAAACTTATAAAGCTAAATTATAAAAACTTTGACAACTGATTATGATGAATTTCTAATATGTAGTAGCTTAGTGTAAATATATATATGTGATTGAATAAGTGAAGAATATATATATGTATATATGCAGAGAACAGGTGCATATACCAGGCAACAAGCCGTACATATTCATGAGAGGTAGTGGAAGAGGGAAGACAGTGATTGCGTGGTCTCACACTTCAGCTGACGCCTATAGCCAGGGCCGGATTTTAGGTTTTTGGGGCCCTGTTCTGGTAAATAACTGAGGCCCTCCAAAATCATAATTTTTAATATGCAAGTTTCGAACCTTTAACCTCCCAGTAAAAATACAATAAATACACATTGCTATCATCTCTTCATAGAACCTTTTAAGTTTAATTGAAAACTTTTAATTTTTATATCTAAACTAGCTCAGTAAATATTAAATATTGGACCTCTAAAATTTGGGGCCCCTCTAAAACTGGGGGCCCTGTGCGGTAGCCCAGCTTGCACAGCCTAAAATCCGGCCCTGCCTATAGCTCTGCCACTTTCAGGGCTGAAGCTCCTCACTTCATTGCCTATGGCATTAGCTTCAAGGTTTAGTTTCTACTCGATCTCATTACCCCAAATTATATTCTCACTCTTTTGTAATCCTAATGGCAAAGGACACAAATGACTATAAGGAGATAAACCAGTATAGCTGATTTGGCTCAATCGAACTTAGAATCCTGCATGTCTGGTTCTAGCTGGCAAAGGACCACAAGGTTGTAAACTAGCCTAGCTAGCTGACTGGCTCAAACCAAGAAGGTCAAATAGACCGCTCCCACAGGAATCGAACTTAGGATCTGGTCTTGTGGCCCCTAGTAGGCAAATGACCACAAGGTAAACCAGTCTAGTTGACCAGCTCATCAGAAAAAAGCCAATAGGCCGCGCGCTCCAGTGAGAATCAAACTTGAAACTTTGTGGTTACTAAACTAAGTACAACCTGATTAACTTGACTGACATTGCACCTTATATTTTCCATTTTGAAACAAAAAATATTATCAATATGTCCCGAGAGGCAGAGGTGTCTGAGTGAGTCGAAGTAGGTTATAAGTTTGATGCTTGTAACGCCTTGATCGAACACATGTAACACAAAGCTTTCTCATGTGTAATTTGCGAGTTAGATATTATCAATACCAGGAATTTGGTGATCTAACTATATTTCACATTTGGGTTATGTATGAGGTAGAATGGTGCTCCCCAAGGGATGGGTCAACCCTCACACAACCAATCATCAGTGGCAGCAGTGGTAGCAGCAGACAAGGCAGGGTTCTACAGCTGTGGATTCTTAAGCTCACGCAACACTCTCTTTGACTACAAAGGCAGACACTACTACAATCACTGCTACATTCAGGGCTCCACCGACTCCATTTTTGACCGAGGACTATCCATGTTTCATGTCAGTTCACTCAACTTTCACCATTAAAGCATATATATTACCATGCATATTATATGGCACTGCTTAATTAACTGCCTTTTTCTTCTTCTGTTTGGGTTTTAGGGGTGTGAGATATTTGTGGTTGGAGACAAGAGAGCAGAGGTTCATAGCTGTGTGACAGCACAACATAGAGATAGTGCAAAAGAGAAGAGTGGGTTTGTGTTTTTGAATGGGAAGGTTTATGGGGTTGGAGATGTGTACTTGGGGAGAGCTAAAGGGGCTTACTCCACGGTGGTTTTTGCAAATACATATTTGTCCAGGACTGTCATTTCCAAGGGTTGGACTAATTGGAGCCATACAGGCCATACAAAGTAAGTCAAAAAATAAAATAAAAATTCATCAATATCTATAGAATTATTTCTATTTTTGGTCTCACGACTATTATTCATCTATTGGGGTAGACATTTGCACCATGCGGAGTACAAGTGTCATGGACCGGGTTCAGCCACAAAAGATCGGGCCCATTGGTCGAAGCAACTGAGTGAAGAAGAAGCGGCGGCTTTCCTATCTATCGGCTTCATTCAAGGCTCCGAGTGGCTTCCGGCGTGGCTATAAGTTTAGCTCACCTCCAACCTCTATATATATAAGATAGAGAATGCTCTGTCGGGCCTAGGTATGGAGACCTTTAAAGTTAGGAATTTAATCTTTAAAAAAGAAGATACAGAATTAAGAAATAGATTTTATGAAATAGAAGAGTTATTGTAAACTGTGAAGTGCATTGGTAGTTCTTGTATATGATGCCTCCAGTTGCTCATTGAACATAGGAACTATGTTTGAATTTGTATTTTTATGATTAATAAATATTTTTTTGAATACAATGTAAAATTTTAATATATTAAAAGTACATTATTTGTATACTGAATGTATATATTTTTTGATAATATAGTCTACACCGCTGTGTATTGATAATAGAGAGAGAGATATATACACTTACACCTAGTGAGTAGTGGCCCATGAATATTTGATTTATAAAGGAGCGTTATGTCTTCGATTCATGTCCATTATGTGCATGGTGGACACGCTGTACATTCATAATTTTTATACTGTAGATTTATAATTTCTAAACTGTAGATTCATAAAATTTAGAACAAATTGCACTTTTGGTCCTGTGAGTAGTATGGTACTGGCAATTTGAGTACGTGACTTTCAAAAATCCCAATTTAAACTTTTAACTATGCAAAAATTGGCAGATTTGGTCCTCCGGGCCAAATTGCCGGCCAATTTTGACCGGAAAAACATAAAGTGGTTCGAATTTATTTGTGTTGAGGGCAAAATCATCATTTCACTCCCTTCTTCTTCATTCTCCCTCTCTTCTTCTTCTTCTTTCTTCTTCTTCTTCTTCTTTCTTTCTTCTTTCCTCGTCCTCGCACCACCTCTGCTCCTCCTCCACCCTCTTCACGGCCTCCCCCAACCACCCACCGCCGACGCACCGGAACTCCCTCGCCGCAAGCACGCGCCGGAAGGGGACGAGCCATCAAACAACCACGTCGGGGAGTGAAACGAACAAGCCCAGCACTAGCTCGCCGCCGGAGAAGCAAGAAAGCAGCCGTGATGAGAAGGGCGGTGTTTTTTACGATGAATTTGGAGTGTCGAACATGGCAATGGACGAAAACGCCCCGGAGGAGGAGGACGATTTCTTTGAGGGAATGGCGGAGCTGGGCGAGTCGCTGAAATTGGACGACGCCGGAGATTCCTTCTCCGATAACTTTCAGGACGCCATGCAGTTCCAATGTTGGCTTCCGAACAATGCCAATCGTGCAGGGGATCATGCCGGCGCACGTGATGGCCGACGTCCATCACGTGAGGATCGACACGGAGCAGAGGTTCGATCGGTTGGACAATTCGTTCAAGCGGATCGAGCAGCAGCTTGGCGCCATGAAAATCGGCTTGGACGAGGACGGCGGCGGCGGGTGGTTGGGGGAGGCCGTGAAGAGGGTGGAGGAGGAGCAGAGGTGGTGCGAGGACGAGGAAAGAAGAAAGAAAGAAGAAGAAGAAGAAAGAAGAAGAAGAAGAGAGGGAGAATGAAGAAGAAGGGAGTGAAATGACGATTTTGCCCTCAACACAAATAAATTCGAACCACTTTATGTTTTTCCGGCCAAAATTGGCCGGCAATTTGGCCCGGAGGACCAAATCTGCCAATTTTTGCATAGTTAAAGGTTTAAATTGGGATTTTTGAAAGTCACGTACTCAAATTGCCAGTACCATACTACTCACAGGACCAAAAGTGCAATTTGTTCTAAAATTTATAATGTAGATTCATAATTTCTATACTCCACAATCATAATTTTGTTACTGTAGATTCATAATTTCTATACTGTAGATTTATAAAATTTAGGAATAAGGGTCAAATAGGCCATCGAACTGCACACAATAAAACAATTAGACCACTGAACTTAAAAAACAAACAATTGGGTCCCTAAACTAATCAATTTCAAACAATTCTTCCAATTTGAAGGTTTCCAACAGGTCAACAGGTCATCCTTCCAAATTAATTATTTTTTAAAATTTAAATTTTAAAAATTAATTATTTAAATTAAAAAAAAAAAAAAAAAAAAACTGGTTCCAGCCGGAGACAAGATTCCAGTTTTTTTTTTTTTTTTTTTAATATTTATATTTAATTTATAAATAATTAATTTTTAAAATTTATTTTTTTTAAAAAAATAATTAATTTGGGAGATGACCTGTTGACCTGTTGGAAACTTTCAAATTGAAAGAATTGTTTGAAATTGATTAGTTTAGGGACCTAATTGTTGGTTTTTTAAATTCAATGGCCTAATTGTTTTATCGTGTGCAGTTCGATGGCCTATTTGACCCTTATTCCTAAAATTTATAATGTAAATTCATAATTGCTATACTGCACATTCATAATTTCTGTACTGTAGATTCATAATTTGATAACTATGTGTTCATAATTTGATAATTATATAGTTTAGAAATTATGAATCTACATTACAGAAATTATGAATCTACAGTACAGAAATTATGATTGTGCAGTATAGAAATTATGAATCTACATTATAAATTTTATAAATCTACAGTTTAGAAATTATAAATCTACAGTATAAAAATTATGAATGTACAGCATGGTGGACACGGTTCATAGCATAATTTGCCATTTATAAACCTACCCAGTTAGGCCTAACAAGTATAGCCCATTAACGGGTAAATCTCCTTTAGCACAGCCCAACAATTAGTAACAGGCCCAAGCTATATATCTAGGGCTCCGTTTACGCTGATGCGTGAACACTACGGACGACATTGAGCAGAGCAGCAGAAGAGAGCAAAAATGGAGGCCGGAGACGAAGGTATAGAGATAGTCGACTCCAAAGACTTGCAGCAGCAGAGCAAAGCCTTCGACAAGCTCACCGATCATGTCGAAGATCGTCAGCTGGACTCCTCGCGTGTTCAAACGGTATCCATATTTATGCTCATATACTATAATAATACATATATTTAAGGGTTTTTTGGATGATATTTGTTTGTGAATTTTAGATTTGATTTTTTAAAACAAAAATGCAGGCTATGGCCTCAATTGCTGCATCGAGGGAAGCTGATATTCAAGCTATGAGAATGAGGTATGTAGAATATTCATGTAAAGCATATGCTTAGCACTTTGAGACTTGGGAGTTGAAAATTTGAGGTTTTATCTTTAATGTTTGGAGCTGTTTTCTGTTTTGTTGTTGAATTCATTACCTTTGTTTCACTAGATATCGTGCTGTACCTTTTTTAATGGGAGAGTAGAATAAAATAAAAATAAGAATTTTGGAAGAGAATGCATTAAAATTGGTGATGAGTATCAGAGTATGTAATCGGAAGAAGGTTTAGCTTAGAGGAATTCATGGATTATGATGATTTGGATTGACATATAACTTCATGTCATTGGCTAAGTAAAAGAATTGTGAATGTTTCAACTATTTTAAGCAGTGGGATGATTAATAAAAGGTTATTTAACATCTTTACTTGAACTTATGGTTTTGAATGGCTTTTAGGGCTTTGCGTGCTTGTAAGATATAACAAACTGCTTTCTGATTGAAATTTACTTGAAACTCAGGTTAAACTCTCGAAGGTGGAGATTAAGTTTCCTTTATAAGAATATGATAAATTAGATTGATAATAGCAATGCTGTTGAATTTTCCTTTTCTTTAGTCCATACTTCATGTTTTTGGCAAGGTTTTCAAGTGCCTATTTTAGTATAGTGAGATTATAATGGCCATGGGTCAGGTTTAGCCAGGGTACTCTACATCTACCATCCAATGCACCCTTCTAATCTAAATGTGATATATGGTTGATTGGCTTAGGTCAGTTGGATGAGTGGGTGCAATTTCAAAATTCACCTTCTCTAATGAAGTAAAAACTAAATAGTATATGGCAGTAACATAGTTAACAATTAGATACTCATTGGGTAAAAAGATGGTTTAAATTTTATAAAAGTAATTCACTTTACTGTTAAACCAAAATTAATTTAATATGCATTTATATTAATTTATAAAGTGTATACATCAGCAAGTTGTTTCCGTTTCAGGGAGAAGGAGCTGGCTGCTGTTAAGATAAATGCTGCTGATGTTGATATAATTGCAAATGAACTTGAGGTCAGTTGGTTTATAGTTTATACACATCCAAACTATTCTTCCGGCAAATTGCTCCCTTATAAGGGAGGTTGTGGGATCAAGCCTCAGTGGAGGCGATATTGGCTCTTTGTGCTTCAATAGGTTGAGAAAGTAGTTATGAACAGATACTGCATTGTAATAGAGTCAGTAGTATTCAAAAATAAATAAAACTATTCTTCCGGCAAATGCCCTAGCATAACGCTGTTTAAACTGCGGTGACAGGTAGACAAAAAGGTTGCTGAACGGACACTACGAGAGCACAAAGGTGATGCTGTTGCTGCAATCAGGCACTTGCTCAATACAAATACCTTCTGAAAAGACATGTTTGGGGATTTCCGGTTGGTATCTTGAAATGCCATTGCTTGTTTCTTGGCAATAATACTAATCGGAACATAGCTTGCCCCTGCCCCTGCCAGAGTTTTTTTTTTTTTTTTCCTGTAACAGTGTACAAACGTTTGAAAGATTTCATTTATTTGGAACTTCTTTTTTGCAATGTTTCCTTTCAAATTGCTTATGAGGAATCATTGTGCTTAAACTATCAACTATCCTGATTTCTGCTTATGATACACAGCATTTAGCCATATCTGTATCAACTTTTATAATGTGTCCAAACTGCTAGTTTAACTTAGACAACAACAAAAAAAAAAAAAAAAAAGTTATCTTATTACCTTATTTTATTTATTTTTGCTCGGTAGACCATGGGAAAAAAGTCCAATCTGCAGGAAGTGCAGAGGGGATCATAAACTGTACAAAGTTGAGTCTACAGAAGAAACGAAAGTGGGGAAAATTTCCTCTACAGTTACACAGTTGTTACAGATGAACACATTTCTGAAACAGCTTGACTTAGCAACATTAGAACGACGGAATGCCAGCCAGCTAACTCTTAAGTCTCTAACTCACCTTGGTGCGAGAAGAACCTTTGTTCCAAAACTCTACTCCTAAGGATACTGCCGCTACTATCCTATCAACTGCTTTTTGAGCCTCTTGTGGGCACTGACAGCTTGAGGATAATTTGGAAATAACACCTTTCTGCTTCTCTTACATATCGCACTTCTCCATTCATGAGTGTCAGTATTTTCCTGCACATACTCAGCCCTAATCCTTCCCGAGTTTCCCATTCACTGTTGTGGAACACGTCCTGGACCAGCGCTGAAGGAAGACCTTCACCTGGGCAGACAAACCTTTTTCAAGAAAAATTAAAACAGGTGACTAGTTGAACCACAAAGGGGAAAGTAGTCCCAATTGCTGAAATCAAACTCTTTCAGTTTTTATTGCAGAATTTTTTTGACTGAAACCGACTTCATAGCTCGTAAAAGAAACGTAATTGTAACTTACGATCCAAACGAAAAACAAGAAATGTGATCCATAACTTTGTTAACTAGTTACTTTACGGCTTTACCAAATACCAGAGTATATGAGCATAAACCCACTCTAGCCCACAAGGAAACTGCCACTGGAAGTAAGTCTAGTAACCTTCTCATCCACTAGATTTCTACTTCTTTTTGCCTTCTTAATCTAACTAATTCGTGTACACCTGTAAGCTACACTCGATAAGTTCTATGTCTAGATTCCTTACCAAAGTTTCCTTGTGCTATGTATGCAGATACATAGATATATCAAGATTTGTTGGAAGAAATTTTAACAAGAAATAACATTCCACGACCACACTTATATCATTTATTTGCTCTCCTATTGTCATGACTTAAGTATGTACAGTATTCCCTAAAGGAAGGAGACAAGTGATGGCAGTAGATGTAGTTCACTCCAACAATATGACAGTTAAACTCAACAAAAAGGAGCATTCAAAAAAAAAAACTCAACAAAAAGGAAGGAGCCAATGTTAACAGTCAACCTCACCTGAATTCAACGTGCGCTATGGTTATTCCATCAGAACTTTGCCTCAAACTAGGCCGAACATGGATTTTTACCCATCCTTTTGGAGCTGGCGCATGATGTACCACTTTCAGCAAAAAATCTGCCAGCACCTGTTGAATTCTTGCTTGATCACCATACACTTTCAGCGTCTTCATTTCCTCTGGAATATCCAGCATAAATTGCAGACCTCTTTCTCTCAGCAATAGCATTACTTGGCTGACAACAGCGTCTATAACACTCCCAAAATGAAATTCTTCTTTCTCTAGCTCCAGTGAACTGTTAAAACACTAAACGTTAGTCAATCTTGTAGAAATAAAGTACCTCTTTACTCCAGATATTTTACAGATACAGTAGCACCCCCACCCCCCCCCCCCCCAACCGCGCACGCCAAACACACCATCTCCACCATCTAAGATGTACCCACAAGTGGGGTAACCCTAGCCAAGCTGGCTAAAGATAAAAACTTGTAACCGCAAGGTCACGAGTTCAAATCCTAGCCGTCTTGGTTTGAGCCGGTCAGCTATGGGCAACCTAGACTGGTTTACCTCCCTATGATCCTTTGCCGGTTAGGGTCACAAGGCGGGGTTTACCCCGTGCACACCCTCGGGTAGTGGCTGCGGGTTTCCCTCGTCACCCAAAAAAAAAAAAAATGATGTACCCACAAGTTCTCGATATATCAGAAGTTAGGTCATAAATTTAAAGCGTTTTTATTTAAACGCACTTACTAGCAAGCATAATCAATAAAGAGAAATTTACCCATCTTCAATGTTTTCCAGACCAGCATCCCTTAAAATCTTCGACATCTGCTTCTGACAAGCGGCACTAGTCTCCAGAAACTGCTTTTGATGTTCTGTCAAATTTGTTGCCTCTAATAAAGAACTTGTAAAGCGTATACCATTCAGTGGATTCTTAATTTCCTGGCAGATATATGCCATCACTTTTGACTTAGTGAGCCACTTGTTTTCTTGTTGCCTCTGGACTTTGATGGCTTGCAGCAATTCAGGACTTGCTATCTGCAAGAAACAGAAGGCTCCGATAATCTGACCATCCATATTCACTCTCTTATTTGCGGTCAAGAGGGTTTGCACGTATTTTCCATTTCGGTCAAGAAAGTAGAAGGGAAACTTGTCTGTATCTTTGCCTCCAATCGCATGATGCAATGTGATCATGAATTTCATCATAGCATCTGGACCCTTGAGTCGACAGACTCCTCCAAAAAGCTCACCAATTAACATCTTCCCCATCATTTCCCCTTTGCTCCACCCAGTAAGCTTTTCCATGGCGGTGTTCCACTCACAGCAACAAGCGTTCTCATCTGAAGCAAATATGGGAGGGATCAGAGGATTGGGGCTATGTACAATTGCCTTGTAATCACTTTGTATGTGAATAAATTTGTCCATTACAACTTTCTGTTCCGTCACATCTTGACCAACAAAACATACACCAATAATTTTATTTGTACAGTCTTTGCTAGAGCAAGCATTGACCACCACAAAAATGGCTTTTGTATGTTGCATAGTGCCAAATGTTTTCAACTTGATCTCTACATTCCTATCTTCATAACCTGCAATATTTAGCCATACGATTAGCCAATTCTATGAACACTCCGAAAATTTAGCCACAATGATAAGACAAACATGCTTCAACATCACTTTAAAGTTCAGCAAAAACTCAAATTAAAGAACCAATGGGTGAAATGTGGTGAAAAATAAAGTTAGTTTTAGAATCAATGGGGTCCAAAGAAGCTGCATAAGGATTATATGATACGGTATAGCAAAATAAATTAAACATAGAAAGAAAGAGATAACCTCTTAAAGCATTAAACAAAAGCTTCTCAGTGGTTTCTTGTGATTCCATATGAACAAGATCATGAACTAATGACTTTCCCATTGCTTCTTCAACTGGCAACCCCACCAACTCAGCAACTTTCGCATTCCATCCATTTATGTTTCCTTCAGCATCTACAGCAAATATCGGAGTGGTTGCAGTTTCTATCAATCTAACCATTTCTCTGGCAACAGAGCTCAGCTCATCCATTCCTTGCAATTCCAATTCTCCTGGCGGAGCATGCACAACAGCCTTAGAATTGCTTGCCTCAGCATCCTTAAAAGAATCGCGTAGAATAAGCTGCAAAGAGTGAATTGCATCCATTTCGGCGTTCTCCCATGGCAAACTACGTCTCTTAACTACTTCTAAAAATGCCTTGAATGAAGATCGAGGGTGCATCCTTTGTCCATCATCTTTATCCTGTGGACGATGCTTAGCACCACCCCATTTAATCTCTTTTGCAGTGTGGGACCGAAACCAGAACAAAAAATCTTTTGATGTTATATAGGCAACAGCCATCCCACGAACTGCATCACCAAGTGAAGCTGCACCAGAGTACCCTGCATCAGCCAAACTATCAGTGCTCAAACCTGTCGAGTCTCCATGGTAAGTCAATAACCACTCAGCTATATCCTTTATCTGGTCTTCAGTAGGTGTCACGCCTAAAGGATAGTATTTGCCCTTATAGTACAATGCAGCCCCATCACATTTCACAAGATCCCTTATACTAGGGCTCTGGGTAACAATCCCAGTGGCGGAGTCCCTTAGAAGCATGTCACACAACAGTGTTTGTGTCCTTAACACATGTTTTTCTGCCAATTGTGATGCCAATTGCAATTCCATATTCAATTGGAGCCCAAAGGCCTGCATAAGAAACTCACAGGCATAACGAAGGGGGAATGCAATACTCCTAGCCGAAGTGTGATGGCCTACAACCAACCCCCATAGCCTCATCGAATTCCTCCCTCCAACACCTTCATCTTCGTTCCCATTTACAATAACTGCCAGAGTTAACGAGGCAATGGAGCCCATATTGGCCATGTACTGGGCATGGCAACCATGAGGAGCCCGTAGAGTCGAACCAACTAAACACAATGGCTGCTTTAGTGATTCATCCTGAATAACACGTACCGGAGAGGCATGGCAATCAACAATCATCCTAACCCTGTTTTGTTTAAACAAAAACCTGGAGGCTTGAGGAATATCACTAGCTGGATAGTGCAGCCCAATATAAGGCTCTAAATCTGGTCTTTTGCTTTCAGACAAAACCTCCCCATGCTCATCCTCATGAAACTTATACACCATAACTCGATCATACCCGGTTAACTCTCTCACACACTCAACCACAACATCACAAAGATGCTTAATATTCCCACCAGGAAGCGACTGCAAGCGCGAAATGGCCCTCACGGCGAGCTTCTGTGACTGCACAGCCCCGGCTATGGACAGGGCAGGGTCCTCACTCCTAGCAGGCTCCAAGTCAATCACAATGCCAACATCAATCTTATGTAAAATCGCGTAAAAAGGCTTACCGGAATTCTTGGAGTGAACCCAAATAGGGTTCAGCAACGTGATCTCCTGCGCTCCAAACGCCCGTTGGAGCAACACCGAGCTCGAAGGTCTGAAAAGTGTCCTCACATCCACCCCAATCGCCAGGATATCCGGGCGATCGAGACTGGGAACTGACTGGGGCATTAAACCAAGCACTTCGCGTGCATTCTCGCTATACGCAATCACGCGAAAACTGGGCTCCTCCACGGCAATCATACACCCAAAAGGCTGTATGTGACCGCCCCTCTGAATGTTGGACAGGTACGCAGCGATTTGCTGCTCCGGTACAAAATGAGTTGCGCCCTTCACAGATTCAGAGTAATCAAACGACTTCCCCGACCCGCAGGCGCGCTCAAACACGGCGTGTAGCCTAGCATCCTCAGTGTACTGCGCTACGGCCTTGCTTACAGAATAGCGATTATTAGAGTTACTCGTACCTGAAGATTGGGGGACTTGAGTTGAAGAACTCTGGTGTTCAATTCTCTTACTACTACTCCCTGTCCCTGACCCCGCCATACTCCACCGGAATTCCTTCCTTGTTCACTCCGCCGCGGATTACTATTTCTCTAAGTAACTTCTTTCAAATAATCCATGGAGAACTTAGGTTCAAAGCTCTGATGGAGAAGAAGGAGAAATCCATCTCTGTTTTGAAGAAGAGGAAGAAGAGTAGCTTTAGAGAGTATTTTGTATGGCGTGGATCGTGGATCTTCGACCTTCGGTCTCTTTAATAATTTCTTCTCAGAGTGAGTTCGTTTTGTCCTACGTTTTCTTTGTTTCTTTTGTTTAAAATTTTTTTTTTTCTTCCTTTGACTTTTATTCCTTCTTTATTAATGGGAACTTTTTCTCAAATATATATATATATATATATATATATATATATATATATATATATATATATATATATATATATATATATATATTTAAAGAGCTTATGAGATCTTATACCAAGCAAGTATTATTTAATGTGGTTAGATATAGCTTTGTACCTTTTTAGATTAATTCTAACTTCACTGGACCCATTCTTAGAGCCTTTACAAATGCGGTCAGATCTTAATCTTCACTGTCGCTTCTGGTCTTACCTTTAACTCTTTAAGTCCCGGGAACACAACTGATCATCACTATCTGAGGATGTGTAATTGTGTATGGCATGTAAATCACACAAGAGAATTAAGTCGCACTATCAATATACTTCCTTCAACTTAATTATGCAGAATATTAGAGAACTAACAAAAATTTTCAATTATATTTACTTTTTGTATGTTAAACGGTCAGCGAATTTAGCGTCTCATATCTTAACTATGAACACTATTTCTAAGCCAGATTTTACGGAATGGGTCTCCATTCCTTACAACTCCTTGTTTGAAGCAATTAGCTTCGATGCCTTATATTAATGAAAGTTTGTTTTGTTTTAAAACAAATACATTTTTTATATTTATTAATTTTTTCTGTGATGAGGAAAATTCAAAATCATTATTTGATGGTGTGTATGAAGTAATTCAATTTATGTGTAATAGTCTACAAATTATACAAGATAAATAAGTCAAAATAAGAAAATCTTGTACAATGAACTCGATCAATAAAGTGTTGACAAATTTTTTAATATTCTTATTGGTAACTCGCGATATTCATAATTATATTAAATTTTAACTAAGAGTTCATAATGTTTTCAAAATTTTGACATTTTTGAATCTTTATTATTATTAAAATATAGATGTTTTAACTTTTATTAGTCAAAATATGAAACAATTACTCTCATTATTATCATATTTTTCTTTTTTATGGTATGCATTGAATAAACCTCTTTCTATGAAGTCGTGACTATCTAAGTACAATAATCATGTTCAAATCATTCATTCACCCTTTCTTGGTCCATAGTCCTTTATATTACAATGACTCTCGGGATGTAATAATTAATACATGTATTGAATTTTAACAAATTTAGAGTAATTTTTTTAAAAGCTTGATACTTTCAAATGTTTATATATATTCTAATATTTTTTAGATGACGAGAGAATTTTGTCGTTACTATCTGAAAATATACATTGATTGAGTAAATCATATGTGCGTCGCAAATTATTGTCAAACTCATTTAATTTAAATTATATATTTATCAATGTTGAAAAAATCGCTAGACGTCCTCTAGGCGTTTGGGGACCACCTAAGGCGCCTAAAACGTTTAGGAGACCGACCGCTTAGCGCTTAGACGCGTCTAGACGCGATTTTTGCAACACTGATATTTATATATAGTTGAAATCACATCAAATAATATGAATTTGGTTGCATTATTGGTGCTTCACAATGAGATTTGTACATGAGTACATCAGAGCATATGAAAACCATACATTTTGTTGGGGGGGGGGGGTGGTTGGGGGCTGTGTGGGCCCGCAGTTACAATTTAGTCCACAGTTGGGGTGGGGCCCGATATGATGTCCCATTTCAAATGAGGTGTTTGAGAGAACTTTTGTATGTCACAGATCCCCAAGTTGCGTGAAGACGGAAGATATTAAATAGTGATGGTGATGGTCCATATTGAATTAATACCATATAATGTCATATGAAAATACATAGAATTTTTTTGACTTTATGATCAAGCGACATAATTGTGAATTTAGGTCACATGTTTGAATTTAGTATCTTTTTATGAGTGGTTAAATTTTGAAAGTTGAAGGATCATGAGTTGTTAATTTGGACCACTGATGATATTAATTTGAAAATTGAATAACTACAAGTTGTCAATTTAAAAATTTAGGACTAAACGTGGCAAAATCACTCTGCTCGGAGGAGCAGATTCCTAGATGGTATTAACTCATATTTCTATCATGACTAGAGGCATTATTGTTTAAGTATGATATAGTATGTATGTATTCAATTTATTGAGTTGCATATATAACAATAATCATTTAATTTTAAGTGTAATTGTCCCGTATACATAATGTTAAGATGTCACATACAATTAATTTATTAAAAGGTTAAATATCAAATAACCTTGACAAGAAAATCAGAATTTTTAATTCTGACTTATTAGATGATTGAAATGATATATACACTTTGATGTACTATATTATCATTTCATGGATAAAATTGATGTGTCTTTATCCTATTATACGGTTTAATGAAAAAATATCTTCAATCCTAAGCTTATCCAAAATCAGACATGTTAGGGTAAAGCATTTACTTGAACTCTACGAGTTGATTTTGGATTAGTGTTTACAATAATGGTAAAAAAGGAAGTTGCCTCCTTATGAGGGCTTGTCCATCTCTATTACATTGTAGTATCTGTTCATATACTTTCTCAATCTACTGAAACAGAAAGAGCTAATAACGCCTCCATTGAAGCTTGAACTCACAACCTTCCTAATGGAAGTCCAACCCGGGTACCACTGGACCACATAGTCCTGGTTTATGTTGTATATCTGTAATCTCTTTATCGTTACTTGATTGATCAATACAATCACTAGACTTCTACATTCATCTGGTATCAGCTTGCCATAAAACGAAAATGAAGGGCTTGGAGGGGGAGGTGGTCACATTACTAGAAAAATTATAAACTTACCTATAAAAAATGCAAACGAGGCTAGCTCTTAAGTAAGAGTCAAACTCTATGAGTCAAATCCTGATCAATAATCTGGAGAAGGAAGCTACCTCCTCTGATCCATTGCCCTGTGACGAAAAGGAAGGCGGAAAGACGGAGGCAGTTATATCACCAAAAAATTGTAAATTTACTTATAAAATATAAACAAAATGTGCTCTAACAAAGTCAAATTCTAATTAGTCGCACAAACGTAACACGATGTTCATTAGTGTATTTGGTTTTGTTTTCCCTACAAAATATAATACATCCAAGTAAGAGTAAGATTGCAAGATGTAATGAATCCAGATTTTGCACATGGAATTATTCGAGCATAGATATGAGATGAAAAGCAACCTCGTACATAGGTCATGATGTTTAGCATAAGATAGGAAAATGATGTATTGCTTATCTGATCTTAATCCAAAATGGTGGGGGGCAAGTGAGGTCAGGTCAAGTTATCTCCCACGTGAAGTGCATACCCTAATTGGACCCCCCCCCATTCCCCATTTCCCATTTCCCATTTCTCATTTCTTCCTTCAACCATCACCCCGTTATCACATTGTACTATTATTCCCTGCCCGCCCGTCCAATCAGGTTTTACACCTACCCTGCCTGCCCCTTCACAATTCCTTCTTCATCTCTAGATTTACTTTTACTTCAATTCTCTAATTTTCTTTAAATTTTTATTCATTCATTCCCTTTTTTTTTTTTCAAAAAATTACCTTATGAAACTGTAAAATATATTAATTATAATCCAAGAGTATGTACTAAGAGTGAAACCAATCAAGCCATTCGGTCAAAACTTAGTTCGTTTAGTCAAATTCAAACTCAATATGAGTTTGAATTGACTTATTTAGTAATCAAATTACTAAATTTGAGTTTAAAACTTTTCTACTACTCCTCAACTTATTATATATGGTATTGGATCAAATAAGAACAAGTCTTTATGAGAGAAATAAAAATCAATCTCACCTTTAGCGCATATATATATATATATATATATATATATATATATATATATATACACTAATGTTCAAGTGCATCCACCTATTCCTGTGAGTATATATATATATATATATATATATATATATATATATATATATATATATATATATATATACTAATGTTCAAGTGCATCCACCTATTCCTGTGAGCTTCATGAGACTTTTCGTAAATGCACACAAGTTACTACACGAATGCCCACATGGTAGAGATTGTGTGCATTCATGCTAGGTGAATTGTACACAACCTAATCTGTGTACATTTGTGTAATAATTTGTGTGCATTTACAGAGACACACTGGAATATGTGATTTCATTTGATTATTACTATATATATATATATATATATATATATATATATATATATATACACACACACACACACACACACACACACACACACTACTAGTTTAGATTTTTAGTTAAGACATAGTAGTATAGCACATCTTTTAATTTTGTATTTGAGTCAACCTCACACAAAAAATTATGAGTGTTTAAACTTTTAATTGAGATGAAACACATACATATATCTTTGCGTCACCTAATGTGCACTTTAATTATCAATTTAAACTTTTAATTAAAAGATAGAATGCGTGCACACACACACACAGACACACACACACACATATATATATATATATATATATATATATATAGAGAGAGAGGAACTCATTTCGAGTTAATCGAACTTAAATCTTATATAGTGAGTTCAAACTTGGGTAGGCCCAAGTTTGAACTCAGGTCGACTCTTTTGCACCTAATATCTCGAAACTTATTCTAATTAGTGAAAAAGATAGTCACTTTTCCCAACTGAACACACTATACTAGAGCAAATAATTTAGTACGGAATACTATTATCTTCAAAATGGTACATAAAACACTATGTGCTTTTACCAAAACAACATATTCCATGAATATAGGCATATATCATAGGATCATATTCCATGAATGTATATCATTGCACAAGAACAAAAGACAAAAATCATGAATAGAACACGGAACTCAGCTACATTCTTTGATTCGTGGGACAATAATGGGGAAGTGTTATTTCTTTCCTGAATATGGAACCTCAGGAACAATTTCAGAATGGAAAACTGATGATGATGATCATAATAAACGAAAACGGAGAGTTCTCTTTTTGCGAGAGGAGTTTACA